AACACAAAACAAAATGACACTGATAAAAGCTCGATTTCAGCACGGGCAGGGTGTTCGTACAACGTGATGAGCCAGGAAATACAATAAGCACTCAATGACTGGCCCCAAGGGAACAGTGAGTTTTGTTTCCCCGAGGCCCTCAATGTTCCCCTCGGCTTCGCCTCGGGGAACACTGAGGTCGAGGGGAAACAGAACTCACTGTTTCCCGCGGAACCAGTCATTAAGTGTTTCTATATCCCTTGCCTCGCGGTAAGGGATATGAAGATAAAGTTTTAAGATCACTGTAAACCTTCAGGGTTGCCTTCCAAAAAATACTCTCTTTGCGCGTTGCTTTAAAAAATCCTCGGTAATCTATATATCACTGTAAAGCTAGTAAACTTCAGAATCCGAAAATAACTATATATTTTTCCATTTTTTGGTTTGGTGGGCACGCGTAAGGCTTTAAACGCCAAAAAATGACGGTACATGCTAAACTTAATTACCAGCCTTTGTGTTATTGCTGACATCCAAACTGACTGGACTATATCACTCGCTCAGGAGATGATGGCCCAACAAAGTGTAGGAGGCTTTTTCGATATTTCTATTGGTTGCTACAGAAGAAAATCCTTTAAAGTTGGACAATGGAACATTTTCTGACTACTGTTACTCGCAGGGACGTCGGTTTAAGTCTTGCATACTTTGGTGCACTAATATCTGACGAACATTTTGGTCAAGTTCCGTTAAAATCCGATAAATCTACAGACCTTATTAATTGACGAGCGGCAGTTCACGGAAAAAAAACCTGGAGTTTTTTCCCGGGGGGGGGGATACTCCCAGAAAAGTTTGATGGGGGTGTACGGCCCGCTTTCCACAACCCTTACTCTATTTATGACCAAAATCTGCGATATTCCCTACCCTCTTTATGACCCGACCAAATGTTCGATACCCTATTTATGACCTGACCATTAAATCAAAACCCTGTTTCAGACCTGCGTTATAGTAAGTTCCCTAGTTCAGACCAATGTTAAATTACCGTAAACAT